CTGAGTTATATAACCCACCCTGTGATATAGGCTGTTCAACCTAGGCCAATGCAGGGGAAGCAGTCCTTAATGGGATGGCTGGTGCAAGGCATTAAAGATACATGGTCATCACCAAGGAAAACCCCCATAATTAACAGAGGCTGGAGGACTATAAAGGAGGGACAGGTATTACTGAGAGAACAAGGTATGAGAAAAGCAATATATGATACCCAGTTCACTGGGCCAGATAAGACTGTGTTCACCAGAGATATAAAGGAAAGCTCAATTCAACTGGGACCTCAAGAATGGTATAGATCTTTAATGTTTTTCCTAAGTCCTTTAATGGGACAGGATCTTTGTATAGTGAGAAAGGCTTTAGCAGACCTAAGTGACTCTGACCAGCATGTAAAAATGTGTCTGTACAATAACAGAAAACCCTACAAGAGATATAAAAAAGACCAAACAGAAGAAATGATCTGTTTGGGTTACTTGAAGATAAATGTGGCAAGATTTATGTAAGGCCCAAATTCCTAAAGAAAAAATTGATAGAAAACCAAATTTGGTACTAAGGAGTTTCTGGAACGCTTTAAAACCTGAGGAACAGTTTACAAAAGACATTCAGAGGATAAAAACTGTTCCAGGGGTGGTTAAGTATCCCCAAAGTTAAATAAGGTGAATTTCTCCCCTGATAAAGACTATGCTAGGGGTAGAAGCAGTTTTTCACACAAAGGCCTTCCCCAGCATCCAGGTATGGTCAGTGGAGAGACAACAGATATGGCTACAGTCAGGAAGGTAGACCCAGGGCCTGCCTGACTCAGGGAACCAACAGATGCAGTGGAGACAAGAGAAAACCCCTGTCTTTTTAGCCTGGTGCAGAGTCAGGCAACTGAAGCCAGCATCTGTAAGTGTATCAAGGATAAAAGAATACAAAGAGACTCCATGTAAGATCCCCAGAATGCAGAATGATTCCAAAGGGATAAGTAAAGATTGTAAAGAACTAACCAAATTAATGCCTCTTACCCATGCTATGGTATCTAACAAAGATCTATGGAGAAAGCAATTAATATGAATAGATAAAACTGTTTCATGCTGTGTTAGACCTTGTCTATGATTGATTTAATATATGATGTTAACCTTTGAGTATTTTATAGATGTGAAACCAATTTGAAAGATACTTGAAGAAACAAAGGCCAGCTACAGCTATAAGATTCTTGGGAGTTTTATGGTTGAGTAAGATAAAAACAGAGGCTCCCAAAATCATACAACTGTTAAGAAAAACTACAGTACCAGAGGTGGGTTGCCCCCCCCCATGAGCTGTTGGCCATAGAGAGTTTCTAGAGATACTCAAATTAACCAAGGCTATTGCCACTAATGTTGGTTGTACACTAGAAAGGTTGGTAAGGCCATGTTGCTGAGGACACTGAATGGTGGGAGCATGGAAGAAGAGGAGATGGAGCTGAGACTAAGCCAAAAACTCCATGCCACTGGATGGATGGCTTTCATAGTGCCAGAAGGCACTATGCATATGGTTGAGGAAGAAAGGATCCCCCATGATTCTACTCAACAATGGACACCACATGCTGCACACTATGGGCATGCCAAGCAATGCCTGAAAGTGCAATAAAGGCTCAACTATCATATGTACAACTGAGAAATTTCTAATTTGATAAGACCCACTCCTAGGGGTAGAACACACATCTGGTGCTGTAGACCAGGCCAATCCCCTGTGTCAGGAAAGACTAAAGGCCCCAGCAGGGAAGCCATTGCAAATATACTGTTTGATGACTATGGTACACCTACTGGGATATCTTCTAGACATTTGTATTTACATTCATGTTTGTTTAGATGTGTCTACTTCCTTCCACTTGTCTTTATAGTAGGGGAAACACCATTGAGATAGATCAGTGGCCACATCTTGAAGACAAATGATGGGGAGGCCCAAGAGGTCACTATCTTACCATGATACAAGAGAGATTTCCCTGCATCTGTCACCCCCTCAAAGGCTCAGGGAAATTTGAAGAAGAAATGGTGGAAAGTTTGTAAGAGCCAGAGGAAGGGGTGGAGTGTGACTCGACTGTTTCTCTGCTAAGCCCTGGCCCCACCTCCTTTCTAGGCTTTGGGGGGACAGCTGAGTGCATTAAGAAGTTGGGCTAAGGACAGCTGTGAATGAACACTGGGAAAGAGTTAGCCTGGCTGCTGGGAGATGGAGAGTTAGCACAGCAGCCATAATTGGAACTCCTGAAGTGAAGCCTGCTCACAGTCCAGAGGCCCTGTGCAAACTCTGTGGGGCTAGTTGGCATGCATGGGCGTGAGATGAGGCAGACCATGGGGTGAGATGGTGCATGGGTGAGGGGTGCAAAAGCTGATTGGAAAGCTGGGAGCAATGGGCAATGGTGGTGACCATAATTGGAACTCTGGGAGTGAAGTGTACTGGCAGTCCAGATCCACACCAGGAAGTGTGTGGCCACTGGGGCAAATAGCTGAGATGTCCTGTGGGGCGTGGCAGCAAGACTGTGAAAAAAATTTAATGCAACAGCAACACATGCCTGTAACTTCAGCACTATGGAGACCTTGGCAAGTGGACTACTATGGCTTACAGACCAGCCAGCCTAGCAAAAGAACAGCAAACTCCAGGTTCAGTCAAAGACCCTATCTCAAGAAAATAACAATGAGTGATGGAGCTAGATATCAGATATCTTCTTCTAGTATCTGGGTACACAAACATGGGTGAACACATCTGCACACAGACACACACACACACACACACACACACACACACCCATATACCACACACATATAGACATGTATCACACACACACACACACACACACACACACCAAAACCAAGAGTAAAAGAAATTAAGAGTTTAAAAGTAAAAAGGTATTCCCTTTATCTTTAATTGATTTGATAAGTTTTTTTCAAACACTAATAGCTACAATGTCTCTTATTATGCATACTTCTGTATGTGTGTATGCTCATGTCTATCTATCTATATATATATATATATCATAAGTGAGAAACACTAATTTTAAAATGAGAATAATTTTAAAATGAGAGAGGAATTAGGATTCACTTATAAGCAATTACCACAAAGTATTACTTGAAAGTAGAATTATACTTGTAGATATATACATAATATAGTATGAATACATAATGTACTAGTATATATGTGTATATACACATAAAATATTCATACTATAGGGCAACTACCCCAACACAGTGTAAAAATATAACTGATATGTGAAGAAAGAATAAAGGGTAGAATTATTAAAATGGTCAACTAAAATCATGAAAAAGCAGGAAAAAATAGAAGACAAAAATAGGAACAAAGAAAAAGCAGTGCATGATTTAATTGGAAGGAGAAATAACAGAATTCACTATTATAATGGTAATCCTCAACATCTCTTTTTCAGAAATACAATACATGCCTAGCAGGCAAAAATCTCAGTCAGTATAAAGTTGAACTCCAACCAACAGCCAACTGAATATAATAGAGAGACTATTTCAAGCAACCACAGCAGATTACACATTATTAGCATGAATGGAACCTTCATGAACATTCCACATGCTGGACTGTAAAAGTACCTTAGCAAGTTTACAAGAACAGAAATGTACATGTCTATCCTCATACCACAATGAACTTAAACTAGAAATCAATAACAGGATGATAACTGAAAAAAAAATCACAGAACACACTGAGGTTAAAGCACACATCTCTAATCACCAGTTTGACATTAGTCAAACAAGAAATTCCAAAATATTTTGAACTTAATGAAAGTAGAACCCAGCCTATGAAAATTGGTGGGAAACAATACTTTGAGAGAAATTCATAGCATTGAATTCACTAAAAAGTGAAAGACCTCGCTTTGACTAAGGAAACTAGCCATGGAAGGGCAAATTGAAAACAAGAAGAACCAAAGGAAATATTAATGAAATATAAATCAGGGAAATTAGAAACAAGAATAAACATGAAAAATCAGTGAAATTACAATTGATTTCATTGAGCTTGAGAAGATAATAAAATTGATACTCTTTAGTGAAACAGAATAAAGAAAATGAATACAAATTACTATCCTCAAAATTGAATTCACATACATTATTATAATAAAATACAGGGAAAACCTTATATCAATAAATTCTACAATGTAGGTGAAATTGACTCCTTGAGGAACATAATCTGCCAAAACTCACACAAAAAGAAACAGTAAGTCTATATATATAAAAGAAGTTAAGTTAATTTTAACTTTCCCAAGCATAAATCACCATGTAAAAATCTGGAGTTTACTGATAAAGTTAACCAAATATTTGAGGATGGAGTTATAAAAATTCTTTATACTCTACAATCTCTTTCAGAAGAAAGAATCAAAGGGAATACTTTCTAACTCACTCTCTGGGATCAGCAGACAATATAGGAAAAACTTGAAAAGGGAAATACAAGAAAACTACAGGTGATCTTCCTGCCTGGGTCTTAAGAGTGAGGTAGCAGAGAGGGTGGATTCTGACCTCCATCAGTGTAGCGGCTCTGATCTCAGCAGATCACCAGGCCAAGTTCTGGCCTCCCTCTGGCCTCACTCTGGCCTCCCTCTGGCAGAAGGCCTGAGAATGCAGGGGACTTCCTGAGAACCCCCAGATACTTGCCTCCACATGGTGGTGAGCTTAATTGTGTCATATGCATCCCCCTAAATGGGATTTTGTGAGGCCCCTCCCAAGGCCCCAGGGAAGATCTGGCTTTGGTAGACTAAGGCTGAGATCCTACAGACAGCCTGAGAGGGTGAGTTTCAACCTCCATTGGTGTAGCAGTTCTGATCTCAGTAGACTTCCAGAGAGTGCCCAGTTCTGGCCTCCCTCTGGCATAGCGGCTGAGAACACAGGAGATTGCCTGAGAGCGCCCAGATCCTGCATCCACGTGGTGAAAGAAGCCTGAGTGTACCTAACTGGAACCTGAATTGGGCTTCTGTGAGTACTCCTGAATAGCTGATCTGAAGCCATCAGTTCCCTCCAAATTAAATCTGAGAGAACCTATACTTACTTGACAGGGGAGACTACATGATTAGGAAGGTGTTTTTCCCAGGGCAAGGCTCATCCATTGCACTTGAGACATGCTGACCCCTGTGATTTCCCCAAATGCAGGAAACTCAGTTGCATAATTTGTGGTAGTGGAGGACTGTGTTCATGCTCTTTAAAAAATAAAAATAAAAAAATAAAAAACCTGAGAGAACCTGAACCTTGTACCAACCATCTTTACATAATCAATAAAGAAAGGATCTAGGCACCCCAATAATACAAACAGAAACATACTTCAATTTAATTCTCATATCAGAATCATAAACAACAAAAGAAAGTCACGTACCAAAATCACAAGGAAAGAATAATGAAATGGAAAGCCAAAACACTATGCTTTCACCAAACTCCAACAATCCTGTACAAGAGTTTTACAAGGAGAACCCCCTAGAGATAACCCAGGACACTGAATTTAAAAGAAAAATCAAACATAATCAAGGAATCCAACAAATTTAAAGAACACATGAACAAACACATCACAGAGCTAAAAGAAGATAGGGATAAACTTCTGAATGAATTCACAAAAGAGGTAGAAACATTGAAGAAAATTCAGGCAGAAATGAAGAAGGAACTGAAAAACTCAATAAGCCAACTTGAAACAACAGGGGAAAGCCTCACCGCTACAATGAATGAAATGGAAAACAGAATATCAACACTGAAGGATAAAGTTGAAGAATTGGATCACTCAAGCAAAGAGTATGGAAAATATTAAAAAACACAAGAATGGAATATGCAAGAGATATGGGACACCATGAAAAGACCAAATCTGCAGATCATAGGAATAGAGGAAGAAGAAGAATTCCAGGTTAATGGTGTTGACAAGATGTTAAACAGGATTGTAGAAGAGAATTTCCCAAAATTAAGGAAAGACATCCCCACACAAATACAGGAAGCACATAGAACACCAAATAGGATCAGAAAAGAAACTCCCCGCAACATATGATAGAAAAAACATTAAATGTACAGAACAAAGAGAGACTACTGAAAGCAGCAAAAGAAAAACAAGTCACATACAAAGGAAAGCCCATCAGAATTACTGCTGACTTATTAATGCAAACTATGAAAGCAAGAAGAGCCTGGACCAAAGTATTTGCAGTTCTACATGACAAAAAATACCAACCCAGGATACCTTACCTAGCAAAAATATCTATTATAGTTGAGGGGAGAAGAAAAATCTTCCACAACACAAATAGCTAGAAAGAATATATGTCCACAAAAGCAGCCCTTCAAAGAATACTTGAAGCAATACAGAGAGCAGAGAGAGAAACAACTATATCCCAGGGGCAACAAAAGAAAATAAATAAAAGTATAATCTAGGTAACACAAAATTAGACAGAGAACACAGAAATCAAAATGACAGCAACCAATATATATCTTTCGATAGTAGCCTTAAATATCAATGGACTGAACTTCCCAGTCAAAAGACACAGGCTAAGTGAATGGATTAAGAAACAAAACCCATCTCAACTTCAAGGATAGGCACTACCTTAAGGTAAAAGGATGGAAAAGAATATTCCAAGCAAATGGCACTAAGAAACAAGCAGGGGTTGCAATTCTAATATTTGACAAAATAGACTTCAAAGTAAAACTAATCAGAAGACATAAGGAGGGTCACTTCATTCAGATCAAAGAAACAGTTAACCAAGAAGATATTACAATCCTTAACAAATATGTACCAAATTCTGCTGCACCCAAATTCATAAAAACACCAAAGGCCTGTAGGACACAGATTAACCCCAACTTAGTAATAGTGGGGAGCGTCAATACCCCACTGTCTCCATTAGACAGGTCAACTGGATGAAGAATAAACAGAGAGATGTCTGAATTAAATGATACCATACATCAAATGGACCTAACAGACATCTTTCCAATATTCCACACAAGCACCAAAGAATGCACTTTCTACTCAGCACCCCATGGAACTTTTTCAAAATATTACCACATACTGGGCCATAAAACAAACCTCGATAAATACAAAAAAACTTGAAATAATTTGATGCATTCTATCAGACCATAATGCAATAAAGCTCAAAATCAACCCTGGACAAAGCCCTAGTCATTACATGAACTTGTAGTGATTGAACAACACACTCCTAAACAATGAGTGGGTCAAAGGAGAAATTAGGAAAGAAATAAAAGAATTCCTGGAATTCAACAAAAAGGACAATGCAACACAACACAACCTCTGGGACACTTTTAAAGCAGTCCTAAAAGGGAAGTTTATAACTCTACATGCCTATATTAAAAATTGGAAAGGGCCCAAATAAATGACTAACACTGAAACTCAAGACATTGGAAAGGCAAGAACAAATGAAACCCAAACCCAGCAGAAGAAAAGAAATAACAAAAATCATAGCAGAAATTAATGAAATAGAAACAAAGAAAAAAAAAAAAAGAATCAATGAATCTAAGAGCTGGTTCTATGAAAAGTTAAACAAGATAAAAAGAACCTTAGCCCAGTTAACCAAAAGAAAGAAAGAGCAAATCCAAATCAACAAAATCAGAGATGAAAGGAGAAACATCACAACAGATGCCAAAAATATTCAGACCATTATAAGGGAATATTTTAAAAACCTATACCCTATCAAATTTGAAAATCTAAAAGAAATGGATGGATATCTAAAATCATGGGAACCAACAAAGTTAAACCAAGAGATCAATAGTTTAAACAGACCCATAACATATAAGGAAATCAAAACAGTAATACAAAGCCGCCCAACTAAAAAAAGCCCAGGCCCAGACGAATTTACAGCAGAATTCTACCAGACATTTAAAAAGACCCCCAACCAATGCTGCTTAAATTATTCAAAATGATAGATACAGAGTGAGAACTCCCAAATTCCTTCTATGAAGCTAGCATCACTCTAATATCCAAACCAGTTAAAAACACAACCAAAAAAGAAAACTATAGACCCATATCCTTAACAAACAAAGATACAAAAATTCTCAACAAAATACTTGCAAACTGCATACAGACACACATCAATAAGATCATTAATCATGATCAAATAGGCTTTATCCCAGAGATGCGGGGCTGATTCAATATCTGCAAGTCAATAAACCTCATTAATCACAGAAATGGACTCAAAGACAAAAACCATATCATCATCTCAATAGATGAAGAAAAGGCTTTTCACAAAATTCAGCATGCATTTATGCTCAAAGTCCTAGAGAGAATTGGACTGGAGGGAACATACCTCAACATAATTAAAGCCATATATAACAAACCCACAGCCAATATCATTATAAATGGAAAAAAACTAGAAGCATTCCCATTAAAATCAGGAACCAGACAAGGATGTCCACTATCTCGACTCCTTTTCAACATAGTACTTGAAACTCTTGCTAGAGCAATAAGACAGGATAAGGAAATTAAAGGAGTACTAATTGGAAAAGATGAGACAAAACTATCACTTTTTGCAGATTACATGATACTATACCTAAGAGATCCCAAAAATTCCACCAGAAAACTCCTAGAACTGATCAATACTTCCAATATAGTGGCAGGTTATAAAATCAATCTACAAAAATCAGTAGCCTTTCTATATACCAATAACAAGCATTGGAAAAAGAATACAGAGAAATGCTCCCATTCACAACTGCTGCAAAAAAAAATGAAATATCTTGGAAAAAATCTGACCAAAGACAAAAACATCTCTGTAATGAAAAATTTAAATCTTCAAAGAAAGAGATTGAGGAAGACATGAGGAAATGGAAAGACCTCCCATGTTCATAGATTTGAAGAATTAATATTGTGAAAATGACCATCCTACCAAAAGCAATATATAGATTCAATGCAATCCCAATCAAAATCCCCCATGACATACTTCGCAGAACTAGAAAAAAAATCCTTAAATTTGTATGGAAGCAAAAAAGACCCCAGATAGCCAAAGCAACCCTGAGCACAAAGAGCAATGCTGGGGGGGATTACTATACCAGATCTCAAAGTATACTACAGACCTATAGTCATAAAAACAGCATGGTACTGGCACAAAAAAATAGAAACATAGATCAATGGAACATCACTGAAGCTCAAAACCCGAGTACATACAATTTCAGCCACCTGATATTTGACAAAGGTGCCAAGAACATACAATGGAGAAAAGACAGCATCTTCAACAAATAGTGCTGGCAAAACTGAATCTCCACATGTAGAAGAATCAAACTAGATCCTCATCTTTCACCTTGAACAAAAGTCAATTCCAAATGGATTAAAGACTTCAATGTGAAACTGGAAACCCTGAAACTATTAGGAGAAAATATTGGCAGTAACTTACAAGATATAGGTGTAGGAAAGGATTTTCTAAATTGGACAGAAGTTGCTCAGGAATTAAGGTCAGCAATTAACACATGAGACCTCATTAAACTAAAGAGCTTCTATACAGCAAAAGGAACAATCAAAAAAGTGAGGAGAAAACCCACAGAATGGGAAAAAATCTTCACCAGTGACACATTTGACAGAGGTTTAACTTCCAGAATATATAAATAACTCAAAAAAACAAAGAATCGAGAAACCAAATGACCCATTTAATAGATGGGCTAAAGATCTAAACAGAGAGTTTTCAAAGGAAGAAATAAAGATGGCTAAGAAACATCTCAAAAAGTGTTCAACATCATTAGTAATTAGGGAACTGCAAATTAAAACCAGCCTAAGTTATCAGCTTGCCCCAATGATACCAAATGCTGGTGAGGATGCGGAGAAAGGGGAACATTCATTCACTGCTGGTGGGATTGCAAACTTGTGCAACCTCTATGGAAAATAGTGTGGAGAACTCTGAAGAAACTAAAAATGAACCTACTATATGTCCTGGTTATACCACTCCTTGGCTTATATTCAAAGGACTCATTCTATTGTAGACACTTGTACAACCATATTTGTTACTGCTCTTTTCACAATAGCTAAGAGATGGAAGCAAACTAAGTGCCCTTCAACTGTCCAGTGGTTAACAAAAATGTGGTATATTTACACAATGGAGTTCTAATCAGCAGTAAAGGAAGCTGAAATAATGAAACTTTCAGGTAAATGGATGGATCTATAAACTGTTATACTAAGTGAAGTAACACAGACTTGGAAAAGCAAAGGATGTATACTCTCCCTCATATGTGGATCCTAGCACTAAAT